ATTCTGATCTTCCGTTTCAAGTACCACTGTGTTTCCGAAATCCAAACTGCTCCTCAGAACTTCATTATCTATTTTGCTTTAAATACTTCCATGTATGATTTTGAAAAGTATTTTAGTTATATGGCTCTTCAAGCTAATTGTCCTGGAATCTTCCCACTCAACGGCTTTTGACTTCCTAGGCAGTGTGATGGAAACAGACGTTTTGAAATTCTTTGGAATGTAGCCAGAAGTATAAATGTCATTCCACATTTCAATGTTGCTAACAACGCCAAAGCTGGAAAGTGATTTCATCATTTCCGTTATTTTGTCAGGAGCCGCAGCTTTTCCATGCTTCATGTTTTTAATATCACTAAATAGATCCTCCGTGTATTCAGTCCACCTTGTGATTATATCATTTTTATTTGCTACAATTCCTCCTTGTTCTCTAATGCACCCACTTCCTGTTAAATATTCTCTTTTGTGAGGGATCTTTCTCAAGTTTTCGTGGACTACTTTTGTATTAAGCCTATGTTTACCTTCCAGTTGGTCTGTTTGTTTATATTTCTTTTTTTTTATTCAGTGGTAAGTTAACATTTGCTGTCTGTATAATAGTTTTAGACATTGTCACTTTGTACTGATTTTCTCTTCCAGATGTTCATTCCAATATTGTTCCATTCGCTCAACTATTATAGCTTGTCATATGTATTTTGCACGTTTTCCAGATAATCTTGACATATATTTGGTTGCCTGAGTGCTATTTTCGATATGTATATTTCAGATTCACTTGATGATTTTACCAAAATTGTAGGTCGTATGTGCATTTCTAAAGCAACAGGGTTGAGATCCCACGATTGCAAGCAGCCTATTTACAACCTTCTAAAATATGAGCCTGTCCCTTGACCTGTGGATTTCCCTTGCTTGGGGTAGGATATTAATAAAGCGCCACATATTGATTGCCCGGCAATCTGCTTGTGTTTCATGTTCCTACTTTTGCATTCATTTCTCCCATGACTTTTAGGACATTTGATGATGGTACAACTCGTATTATTTGTTGTGTGTCTTCTTTCTTCTTTTGTCAAAATCTGCTTGTGCCGCTAGGCGTCGCAGTCTATCAGATGATCGGCAACCGAGCCAGGGCGCGCTCAGTCGCTTCATATGCCGTGATGTTATGAAGTCTCAAGTTGTCCGTGACTCCTTCAATCCATCTTCTTCTTGGTCTTCCCCTGCCTCTTGGTGTTTCGATTTTCATGTTGTATGCTCTTGATGCTGGCATCATTGGTTCCATTCTCATTAGGTGACCAAACCATTTCATTCTTTGCTTCTCAATAAATTTAACGATGGGTATGGTTCCAATAGTTCTTGTAATCACATAGTTTCTCACTCGATCTCTTCTGGTTTTATTTGCAGCCATTCTCAAACATCTCATTTCACAGGTGGTTAGTCTTCTCTCGTGTTCTTTTGTTAATGTCCAAGTCTGACATTGATAACCTAATGTCGGTATAAAGATTGTATTTATAATTTGTCTTTTTATCTCAGCTGGGACAGCAGGGTGTTTTAAAATTGGGGCAAGCTGGTATGCGACATTGTTGGCTTGTTGGATTCTTGCTTCAATCTCTCTGTCTATTTTACCATTGGATGTAAAGATACTTCCCAGGTATTTAAATTCTTGCACTTGTTTTAGGCTGTGATCTAGAATCTTTATGTCGATGGTCTGTTGCTCTCTACTTATGCTCATGACTTCTGTTTTTTCAGTATTGATCTTCATATGATGCTTGAGGCAACTGTCGTGTAGTAGGTTCATGTGGTCTTGCAGCTGTTTACTATCACTGTGAAATATGCATTGATCGTCGGCAAAGAGCAGCTCATTGAAGTCCTCCTGTTTATCGACATCTGTTGGTGTTATGTCTATTTTATTAATATTGTCCATAAATATTATGAAAAGTAAAGGTGATAATACACAACCTTGTCTTACTCCTGATGTTACTGGGAACCAGTCTGTGATGCGAGTTTGTTGTGTGTAATGAAGTGAATTGCCACATGGGTTTCCCAAAAACGGTATAAAGCTAAAGATAGATTAATTAGGGATTATGTGAGAACATGGAAGTAGCGAAAGCACAAGGGATTTGAATAGTGCTAGTGTGATAGCACAAAGAACTCAGAACGAGGGTTTGAATTACGAAACAAAGGGCTTGCCAATTGGTGTTTCGCAGCTAGAGTAAAAAGTTGTGTTCGAGAGCAGGGTGACTGTGTCATTGTATAACATAGATGTGGAGGCAAGTTTGAATCTACGAGATGGCAGCCTAACCAGAGTTTAATCAAGTCGATACCCAACCTGATGGTGAAACTTAACTGCCGGCTGTCGGAGATGCTTGGTCGGCGCCAGTGTGTGTGACGTGTATGGAACATCATGATTGCACGATAGCGAACGTGAACATCTGATATGTCTGGTATAACATCATGTCTGTGAGTCTTTGACCAGGCTAGAGAGTAGCAGACAGTGACTGAAACAGGTTGTCTTTTGGACTGAATAAACGTGATGAACTGCGAGGCTGTCTCTTCACTTTCATCTGTGTGCGTAAACTCGTAAACTCCGTTAGAGACATCATAACACCATAGACAACAGCTAGCACCATAGACAACAGCTAGCAGCATAGACAACAGCTAGCACCTTAGACAACAGCTAGCACCATAGACAACAGCTAGCAGCATAGACAACAGCTAGCAGCATAGACAACAGCTAGCAGCATAGACAACAGCTAGCACCTTAGACAACAGCTAGCACCATAGACAACAGCTAGCAGCATAGACAACAGCTAGCAGCATAGACAACAGCTAGCACCTTAGACAACAGGTAGCACCATAGACAACAGCTAGCAGCATAGACAACAGCTAGCACCATAGACAACAGCTAGCACCATAGACAACAGCTAGCAGCATAGACAACAGCTAGCACCATAGACAACAGCTAGCACCATAGACAACAGCTAGCAGCATAGACAACAGCTAGCACCTTAGACAACAGCTAGCACCATAGACAACAGCTAGCACCATAGACAACAGCTAGCACCATAGACAACAGCTAGCAGCATAGACAACAGCTAGCAGCATAGACAACAGCTAGCACCATAGACAACAGCTAGCACCATAGACAACAGCTAGCACCATAGACAACAGCTAGCAGCATAGACAACAGCTAGCACCTTAGACAACAGCTAGCACCATAGACAACAGCTAGCACCATAGACAACAGCTAGCACACTCCAGAATGTTGTTTTGGCCTCAGAAATCAGGCAGTCAAACTGTCCTGCTTGGTAAAGCCTACGTACGTTCCACGTACCATTACATAGACATATTCTTATAGTTGTTAAATAGGTGTTGTTGGAATGCACCGTTTCTAAAGAATCTGGATACATGTCTTGTTGCCTGTGTTTGAATTCCCTACCAGGGGTGAGTTTATAATAATTAGTGTAATTTGAGCTATTGATATTATTCCTCTGAATTAATTTTATCTGCTGAATTCCTAAATTTGATGCCCACATGGCTTAAAAACCATGATAAATTTCTGTATTCTTACTAACCACGTTTATGATCTAGTATGTACATGTATGCAAACATATGATCTATTTGATGATTTAATTAATGTTTATTTGCTACTAGAAACGTGCATTGGTATTTTCAATTATTATACTTATATTAATTAAGTGATAATTATGTCCTCATGTAAAATCTCAGCCAGTTCCTGTTTCCAGCTTAGACAATTAAAAATAGGAATGAAGTGTATACCCATTATACCTAATCCCTTCTAAGTTGATTTCTACCTCATGGTGATATTAGCTTGATAAATTACTGTCTTGCTTTAATTTAGATTTAGTCCAGATAATTCTGAGACTATTTTAAGAGCTTGGAAAGTGAATATCACAGTGAGGCTGAATTTAATATTCACACTGTCAGAGAAGAAGAAAGATGTAGTTGCTTTCCCAATCCATAATTTTATATCCACAGCCTTTTAATTAATATCATGAATTGAAAATCCTAATAAATGTAGTTTTCATGTTCTTACAGTTTTCTGAAGTTTCATTTTAACTGTAATTGTGTCAGTGAACAAAAGCTAGTATAACTTTAACACATTTAAATATACAATCTTAAATAACAGCAGGGAAAAGATGTGGGCAAACCCCAAATCCTCTAATTTAACCAGCAAGGCTGGGGGTAATATAAACCTTTATTAAGATTTAATGTTTGTAGTTCCCTCTGTAAATTGCACATAGTGCATTCGCTAGTGTAAAGCGAATTTACCCGCCACATGGAGCCACACTTGAGCTAGATAAAGAGAGGGCAACCAAAAAGGATCCTGGACTATCCTTCAAGAATATCTGAGTACACTCTAGCGATACTGAAACATAATAAAACAAGTGTGTTCCGTTGAGGGCACTAAATCTGGCGAGGAATGGATGCCAGCTGAGTGGTGTGCCCACTTTTCAGTCTGCATGTAACTGGACAGAGATTGCAAACAACAAAGCCCGTTGGTGGTTGAGGCAGAAGTTCTTGAACAATCTGCTGACAGAGGTACCGTTATCTACACAGACAGATCCGTTGTTCGACACGTGCAAAGTCCCTGGCAGAAGATAGCGGGTCTTTTGCCTCCACTGCAAGTAATGGCAGAGAGAGGATGAATTTGAAGAAAACTGTTGGAGTTCCTGATAGGAATTAGTTTCATGGTGGGTATTTTGTGGATTCACCATCTAACTAACTTTGCAGATATAGAGCACCTTTTGTTTTTTGTTTCAAGTGGACACGAGAAGAAATAAAATTCTTGAAATTCCCGATGCACACAGGAAACTTGCATGGGCACAGATTAGCATCTAGTGAATGACGTCAACGACACCCTAGACAACCTCACTTTGTCATTTGACAGTTGAGAGGCCGGAGCACGGCCTTTCGCCTTTCCATCTTCAGTTTCTCCTACAGTTTCTCCTACAGTTCCTCCTACAGTTTCTCCTACTCCACGCAGAACCGCCACCATGAGAGAATTGTTTACTTCGTGTTTCAGTTGCACTAAAAAGGCACCACACAAAACAAATAAAATCGAATTCGATCGATCACAAACGTATGTGAAACAAGTTGCTCCGACTGCAAAACCTGCTGCTGCCAGGAAACCGTCCTCTGCCCCGAGCGCTCCTCCTTCTCCTGCTTTTTCCACAAAATCAGCTTCTCCTGCGAAAGCTGCTTCCCCTGCGAAAGATCTTTCTCCAGTGACATCCCGCATTCCTGAACAGGAAACAAAAGATAGCGAAGATTATTCACCAGAGAGAATCCGGGGCCTCAAGAGAAAATCGGTAGTGGCGGAAGGACCGATTGTGTACCCCGACAAATTTGTTGGGGCCCCTGAAGTGTTTGGAATGCCTGGTGCTCTGTTTAATAAGTACGGTCTCGAGGGTGATATGTTCTACTCGTACCTGGGAGCGAAGGACGCGGTCATGGTCTTCTTTTATGATCCCACCAGCCCTGTGTGTGAGATGGCCAGACTTAATTTTCGACAGGTGAGATATTGCGTCTCTCTCCCTCTCTCTCTCTCTCTCTCTGTCTGTCTCTCTCTCTCTCTCCCTCTCTCTCTTTCATATATCGTCTTTAACTAACCATATTCAGAGAGTTAGAATTAGAGATTGCACTGATCTCATTGCTGTTGGGTCGACTAATCCCTCTCTTCAGGGGAAACAACAACAACAATAACGCAGTCAACAACAACAACAACAACACCACCAACAACAAAAACACCAACAACAAAAACACCAACAACTACAACACCAACAACTACAACACCAACAACTACAACACCAACAACTGCAACAACAACAACAAAATCTACCCACAGAGCCCACGCGGCATCCAAGCCCTAGTGATGTAACCCGAGAAGCCATCGTCAGATCAGGGGTCAAGGGACCTGACCCCCCCCCCCCCCCCTCTGAGGTTGTGGAAAGAAAAGCTGGCTGGGGTGGCGGTGGCGGTCGTGAGTCATTAACGAGCGGTTCGAAAGGAGTTAACACATCAGCACACAAATTGAGGAAATGGCTTTTGATTTATAGCATGAATTTCTTTACTACAACCGCTTGCCCCAAGCCACGTTGCAGGCGTCAACTTCTAGTCTCAGTGGTAAAAGCGTTTGCCTCGCCAGCTGAAAGTCCTTGCTTTGTCTTACTGTGCGATGCCTCAGTTTAGTTCAAGAACTCATTATTATTCTGGGGATCGTTGCTGGAACTGTGGTGTGCGAGCATTGTGCGACGCGCCAGACAGAGAGCTAGTCATTATACTAAGATAGTCATATGGGATTGAAAGCCTCGTACAACAAAGTCTACCTTCTTGAATCTAGCGGTGCCATTAAGTTTCTATTCACGCGTCAACGGACATTACCGGAATTCATCACAAATCTGTGTGTGGGTCTTCATGGAGCTTTTATTAAATATATTTCTAGGACTTGTCTTGGTGGTGTCCGCCCAATTGTAACTTTGCTTTCCTTTTGCCACACCTCTGACCTCATCCAGCGTGTGGTCTGCTTTTCTCATCCTAATCAGGTCTGTCTGTCCCATCTTGTGCACATCAAGAACGGTGTGTGAGTGATTCTACCTTTTGGTTTCACCCTATAACTCTGTGTGATTTCTGTGGGCACTGCCGTATTTATTGTAATTGATTAACTCTTGTTTCCCTTGACCGTCTGCTAGCACGAGGGTTAAAGTGTATGACTGTAGGAAGTAAAGCATACTAACTGACGACTGTTACACTGTATTGGATAACCTCATACAACATAAACACAGACACAACATGTGAGATGAGATGTATCAGATACACAGCGGCGATAACAAACAAGAAGAGACCAGCCAAGAACTAAAAACAATTGTAGCTGCCGTACCGGTAACCGATTGAAGGTAACCGTTCAGAATGAAATGGTTTAGTCATCTAATTGGAAATGAACAAACGAAGCCAGTATTTAGAGTGTACTACTGGAGAACAGTAGGCTGCAACGTAGGAGGTCGACCAAGGAAGAGATGGGTGAAGCGAGTAAAAGAGATTTACTGAAACGAGTATAACATGAATACAAAACTTCGCAGCAATCAAAAGACAGGAAGCTACATGGAACTGACTGAAAGTGCAATATATAGATGACCAATGCCAGAAACTATGGAGGATCATAGGTGTTAAAACTGACCTAATGTACACGATATAGATGACCAATGCTAGATTCGAACTTTCCTCCATCGGTCAGTTATATAATAACACATTCACGCTGCTCTAAAACACAACTTTTCACTCTGGCACCAGTTGACAAGAACTTTGTCTCGTCTTTAAAATTCTTGTTCTTTGTTCCT